AAAATTCTCCCATTCACTAAACGGCAAAACTAGCCAAACAGGAACAGCACTAACCTTATGTTCGATGTTAACAACACATTTGCAAGAGGTTATACGTGTCATGTCAGGCTTTTAATATTGCCTGCAGTATGGCTCCAAAATTACTTCAACGCTATCAAAGTCATGATAGGACAGATAATCAGACCTTGTGACGACTTAGTTCACTTTGTATTGCTACTGAATCTAAGAATATTCACAAAATATTTTCAGCCGAAAATCGGCAGAAAAATAAGAATGTTCAGCCTGGACCAGAAAAACAATATTCTTATGAGACGCTAGACAAGTGAAGCGGATAAGATTCCGTCCAGGATATTGCCTCGATGTGCCTCTGAATTGTCAGTGCTAGTATTTGAAAGAATGTATGGCAAATTAAAAGAATAACATATGTTTTGATTAAGAGCTTTCTCGCCGCTTCTGACAGGCTTAAAGCGTTTGTAAACATCACTGAGTTATAACAACGATGTTACTAGTCGTGATATGCCCACTCTATATATTAGACAACAGGGAGAAACCGTACAGGGAAGAAACTCTCGAAACACACTGATGTTGCTCATTGGTTTTAGTACCTGAGACATGCGACATGGAACACGGAAGAAAAGGTCTCATTATTGTTATTTGTGATAACAGATTTTCATGCAAATTAGCCAGGTGTACTAAAACAGAGCATGAAACGAATCCCAAAAAAGCTGAAACGTAGCATCAGCAGTTTTCATACGGATGTTAAATCATATTTTTATTCTGAGGAAGAGACATTTTTCTCTTTATAACTCAATTCAAGAACTGTTTCAGAACATTAAGACAAACCTTTTGAAAGTTTTCTTTCCGCAATTTATTTCTACAGCTCACAAATTGCAGTAGGTACGATAGCTAAGCTCTATAGCTTACGTAGTTTGCATTTTTGATCATTTTAAATTTAGGTCACGTTTAGCGCTCGACCAACTGTTTCTCTTCTTTGATACCTAATAAACAAAATTTTTGAAAACCAGCCTGTTATTCCCTATAATTTTCTACCACTCTTCCGGCTTCAATCATTGTGGGGTTTCTTGACTTTCTTTTCCATCTTTACGGCAGCTTTTAGGGCCAATACAAAAAAAGTTGAGGAACTCAAAATGATTGGATTGTTATTTTTGGTGGTTGGAGAAATCTTCCAAATCAGTAAAATATCATAAATAGATAGCATCCTTTTCGTAATGCTGACGAAATTTCTTATATTCCGTTTCATCCCCCAAAATGTATTGACACCTGTAGTGAAGTACTTATGGCATCGGTGCTAGAAATGATTAAAAATACCGGTCCAATTATTAAGATTTTTCAGCAATTTGTCACGTAGTACCACGCTATAAAAGCTGTGAAGCGCCGTGTGTTCATCAGAAGTTCACCAGTGTAAGTTAACGAAACTATATTTAGACAGAAATTTAAACTTTGGTCTTAAAATACTATTTTCTCTACCATTGACGGTCACTGCAAATTTCCTTTGTTACCTAAATCAGTGATTGCGTTTGAAAATCAAGCTATCTATTTTTATGAAATACTGAAAAGCGTAAAGAATGTAGTTTATATCTGTCACAAAGCTGAATAAACGTGTTCATCTGGAAATTAGTTATTAGCTTGTGTTACTCAACTTTGAGTATGTGGATTCAAGCATCCAGCACCCATATGTATTCTGAAAAGAGAGCTAAATAAATGAGCGCTTCCATTTAAAGAATAAAAACTTTTTAAAAAACCTTTCAGTCTGCAGACCTTCATCAGTTATCTGTGCAGCAATGGAACAAATTATCTTTTTTATACTCTTTACAAGCCTAGCTCAGGTTTACAACAAATTCTAAAGAAACAAACAAAAGATTTACGTGACTGACTAATAGAAAAAATAGCGATCTATGAAAGTGCAAACATTTCACCAATGTGTTGTTCTATAGGGCTGTTAATTTAACGTTACAAAAATGATTCAGAAAATTACAAGTTCATTTATAGGTAAAAAATATTGATCTTGCAACAATACAATGCGGAATTGTCAGAATATTAGAATCATCATATTATTGTACATATTTCTGTTTTTAGTGTAAACACGACCTCACAAGCAAACCTATTACATTGCTTTATACTAAATCGCGTATATATAAAGGACTGTTGTTGTTGCGGTAATCGAGATCTAACGGATTTAATCAAGTCGTCTAATATTAAAAATGAAAATATGAAAATTGTAAGAGCAAAATCTTTGTCGAGGAAAAGGTTGTTGTTATTCATCGTGGTAGATGCAACAATAAAGTGTATTATCGTAGTCACTTGAGATGTAGATCGCGATCTACATCTCAAGTGACTACATCGTGAGACAAACGATAATACACTTTATTATAGCAAAATCTTTTTCTTTAGTTATAGTTAAAGGAAAAAGGACCGGAACAATCCCTCTTGTTCCGGGGGGAGAGGGGTACTCCTGTAAATTTCCTATAAGTGTGTACCGAGAAGGGCCTTAAACCCTGACCTTATGTAAGGATGAAGCAAATGAAAACTGATGCCCTTTTAAGGCCTAAACCCGAAAAAATGACACTTTAAGCTGATGATAAATTGATGCGTCTCCACAATCCAGTCTCGGTGAACGCGCGCGCGAAAGGTAAGCATTTATTGACGTTTCTGGCGTCGCTTTTGTGAATATTCAACTGAAATTATTCTCCAAAAATGAAGATGAAAGATTTCTACTCGACAAAACACTGTTTATATTTTGGGAACCAATCAGTATTTTTCTTTTAATCGGGGACCAGTTCAGCCGTATAATAAAGCCACCCTATCTAAGGATCATACTGGTAACACAATGCCAATAGGGAAAAAATGATAGCCTATTTAGGAATTGAAAACTTCAAAAACTATACCCTATCCCGCGGCAGATACCTACAAAGTCCATGTATGGAAGCAACCCTCCCCCAAGCTCTTGCTACTTCGAAACACCACATGACGGCATAGTGCTTAGTCAACCCAGACAAAGGCGACTGGTAAGGTCTTCCGTGTCCACATCCAATAGTTCTTGCATTTCCTGATTAGAACGTAATGTGTGTACATCACCGGCTTACAGTGGAAGTTACAACCTGGACACCTGGC